CTTCAACGTGTGTTGAACTCAGGTTGAGCCAAGCATGGCAGGTGATGGGGTGAGCTGGGACCACAGTGCAGGTGAGGGGGGAAGGACCAGCAGGAGTGTGAGAAAGGAAACCACAGACCCAGCAGCCTGAGGCGCAAGGAGGATCCGGCTGCTGGGTACAGTTGTGTGAAGCAGGAAGGTTTAGGACGAGGGGTCCCTTCCCTGATCCCTGCAGGAATCGGGGATCTTGATCCTGCTGCAGCGACCCCATCCAGTGGGATGCACCTCTGCAGGATGTGGACTTCTTCCTCCTGTAATGAGGCTCCTCAGCTATAGGTGATGCCATGGTTTGCCCCTGAGGCACAATGTTCAGAGACAGCCTAAAACTAAAGTTATGGCCCCAGCGATGGCAAGCAGCCTCCATTATCCAGCAGCCTCCCCAGCAGCCAGCCACGAGGGAGCTCAGCCCAGGCCCTACAAGGCATCTGCTCCCCTTTCCTGCCAGCATTGTCCTGTGCAGGTGCAATAGAATCCATTTGTCACCTGCAGCAGCATCTTACTGGGAGCAAAGAAGGCATCAGCGGGCCCATAGCATCAGGCAGCAGCCACTAGCAGACTGCTTTGGGCTGGAGCCATAGGGGATCAGGGCTTGTGCACCCCAGCAGCACCTTGCTTCCCTGCTTGTAAGCCATGTGGGACATGGCTGAAGTTGATGGGAGGATATGCTGTGAACAGGATTCACCCATGCTTGGCACCTATTGCAACAGGAGATGGCTGGGATGTCTCACACCTACAGAAAAGGTAGAACCTGGAAGCAAGCTCAGCTCCTGGGGATGGAGGGAAGCACAAGCTGTCAAATTCATCTGTCTGGCTGCTTCCCCTCACAGTCATCAGCTAACTCAGCACAACAGGCTCAGCTCTATGCATACATCCATGCCAGGACCCACAGGCTGGTTTAAGGACACAGAGCCTTTTCCCCATCAACCCTGCCCCACTCTTGAGCGAACCTTGTGGTCATTGCAAGTCTCAGGTTGAAGTAACACCACTGAAATGAAGATCAGGCTCAAGCGACCCAGCAGACTCCTCCTGGCCTCTGGCAAACCAGCTCCGTGCCTGGCTCCAGCATGCTGAGGTCACAGCAGCAGCTCCACAAAGTCTCTTTCAGCACATGGAGGAGTTTCTCAACACTGGATGCTCCCTGGTTGCATATCACAGGCACCCCGAGTCCTGTCAATGTCCTCCATCCCAAGGACAGCGTCCGTGCTTCTCCATGAGGGATGTGGAGAAACATCCGCAGACCTTGTGAGCGGGAGGTGGAGGTCTGTGGAGCAGATGTAACTCCTGACAGCTAACGGCAAGCCAGGAGGAAACTTTCAACTGAAATCCAAGCAAAAACAAATGGGCACAAATCCAAAATTTAGAGGGCTTGGCTGGATAACAAAGATCCCGAAGGGAACTCATGGCCAGGATTTACATCCAGGCGAGACGGAGCCAAAATACTTAAAGGCGAGAAGGGGTCCTCCCATCCTCAGCAGTCTGGAGCCAAAGGAGAGGGGCCAGGAAAACAGCACAAGGGCTTAAAGTTGTGTGAGGTGCAGCCCTGGAAGTCCACAGGGGTGAGCAGCACCTCCTGTATAGGGAATTAACACCTTGCATGAGGTTTTGGGAACCTCACAGAGCAGAGAACTCACCAGGATGGAGAGTCCCAGCTACAGGGAGGGAGGGCACCTGGGAGAGAGGAAAAGGTCTGAGGGGCAGGAGGGATGTGTTATTGTGAAGAGGGCATTTGCCTACCCTAGAGGAAGGAAGAGGGGGGGGTTGACCCCACTCCTGAAGGCAGGTGCATGGCTGAATTTATCAGTAGGAAGGAAGCAAGGAAGGAAACAAGCCTGGAGTGCTGGATGGCTCCATCGGACTTCACGGTGGTCATGGAAAGAGGCCCAACACAGTGATACAGCTCCACACAGCACAGCACGACACAGCTGCATGAGGGGAGGGCACAGTGAGCCCCCTGCAAGCCCCCCACCGGCACCAGGCCCAGCTCTCCCATGCTACATGATGCCCTGCACCCCATCAGCCAGGGAGATGCTTGTTCCCAGGCTGGGTTGAAGGCTCTGCATGCCTGTGCAGACCACAAGACACAGCAAAGGGAGCAGTGGGTTTGCACTGATTATTCCCAGAGAGACCAAGGACATGCCCATTAAAGTTTACCTCGGTTATGCAGCATCAGGAACAGCCAGTTCCCACTCCCTGCTCCACCGAGTCCTGCGCAAGCTCAGCAAGAGGGAGTGAGAACTTCCTCAGCCACGCATCAGAGGGCACTGGAGTCTTGCCATTTGCTAAGGCACAGGGAAAAACGCAGGCACTGGAGTCAGCATTTTAAGTGAGGGTAGGAACACCATCCTTCAGTCTGCACTTCCTTGATTGCTGTGACAGCTGCCTTTCACAATCCAGGGTGCCTCCCTAGGGAGCAGGATGGGCGCTGGGTTTCCTGCTGACACAGGTGGTGACAGGAGTTTGAGATGCTGATAACAAGGAGTCTGGCACTAAAGGTTGCTCCACTGCTCCTAGCAGGAACTGCTGCTACATCCCTGGCCTTGGGTCTTCCTCCAGCTGGAGGCAGACCACAGACAGCACTGAGGGAAGGCGGTGGCTCCTACAGCACTCAGTTTAGCTGCAGAGTCCTTGCTGCAGGGGTCTTGAGCCTACATGGGGCAACAGGGCGACTTGGGCTTCTCCTCCATGAACATGCCCACTTGAGGACTATTTAAGACAGACACAAGTAGCTCAGGAAGAACCTGGTCCACAAGTGGAAATCTGCAAAGCTACCTGGAAACCTATAGCAGGATGTTTGCACCCCCCCACCAAGGCAGCGCATCCAGCATCTAGGATAGCAGGCTGAGAAACTGTTGGTCTAACTCAGTGCATCCCACCACGTTCTCAACCATACAGGAGCAGGCAAGGCATCTAAATGGGTTTTCAGCACGAAATTCACTCCGAGCTCACAAAGCTGAGCAGGCAGGCTCTGCAAGCTGTGTGGGAGCTCAGAATAAGGAGACAAATCTTCCCTCTAGTGGCTGTACAGCACAAGTCTCTCAGTTACCTTCTCTCTCCCCGCCAAGACTAGCAGCATCTTCACCAGCCTTTAGGCTCAACGCAGAGCCCAAGCACATCACATCTTACAAATCCTTCGTTGAGACTTTAGTGGCTTAAAACTGGTGTAGCTGCAAATTTACACAAAGCAACAGATGGACCCAAGGGTCCGTGCCCACACTGTGGCTTGAAGGTACACATCCTCATGGCCAGCTCATGCTGAGGCTACATCAGGCAGCCGGGACAAGTGGCTTCTGGGCACTGCAGCAGCCACACACCCATAGCACACCATGGCCTATTTCTGCAGCACTGGTGGTTTGTGGAGCTGGTTCTTCAGCTGACTTACTCCCCCTTAGAGCAAGCATTCAGTGGGACACAGGATTATGACTACAGTTTTTATCCCAGCTTCAGCCCCATCAGCACAGATCCGAGTGCTGGTCAAGTCCTAACTGCGGCACAAGCACAACACCTGCCAGGAGGACATGTAGTGTTGAGTTTCCTAAGCCCTCAGCTGTCTCCCTGCCATTGCACACACATCCAAGTCTGGCAAGCTCTTTTCTCCTCAGTGAGACACAGTACAGCACCAGAGCATTGACCACGTCAGTAATTTCTGTGCCACATGGTCTCACCTTGGCACAAGGGAGAAACATGTTACACTTCAAGGCATGTCAATTCACCTGCAGAAAAAAGCCCTTTCTCCCTTAATCAGTCCATTCCACTTCTGCTAAGGACAGAAAATGCAGCCTCTTGCAAAATGGTTGCAGGCAATACAATCAACTTTTGCCTTTCCACTCTGGGGCTTATTTAAAAACCATTCCAATGCATGCATTGCAGGAAAACACGTATATGAGTCAGTGCTAAAAAAGTTCACGATACTAAAACCTTACTATCTACCTTTAGTACTTGGCTAAATGAAGTTCGTGTCCAACGAATGGGCTGAGACAGCACGGAGCAACAGTATTAACAGCAACAGGGTCCTACAATTCCACTAGCAAACAGATTGTCAGAGCCCCTTGTAACTAATCGAACCTCCCTATCAGGTCATGGTTAAGGGTAGCACAGAAAATCTGATACCAGCCGTGCCCCAAAAACTGCCTTCCTGTAACCCAGAGACAAGCTGTGTACCCTTCTTGCCTCCATTCCTCTGACACAGGAGGGAATGCCTGCCAGCTTCAGCAGGCTGATGGGAAGGCACAACATGGCCTGGACATAATGGATAATTAGTGCTAATGGCAAGTTAATGGCAGGGATTTGATGTGGACATGGGAAATATTGTAGTGTTGCTCCTGGCCCTCCTCTGTTGCCTGCCTGTGCAGTGGTGGTGTGCTGGTAATCCAGGCACAGGTTACACGTCACACTGCTCAGTACGTCCTTGCCCAGCTGCACTGGCTGCCCCTGCTGGGAATGAAAACAAGAGAAGCTCAAGCATGGATATTCTGGGATCCTTTTGTTGAAAGCAGGTTTGAAAAGTCAAACCTGCTGCAGTCTGTAAAGCCAGAACCTTACCAACAACTCTGCCATGTTACAGTAGCTATGCGCATTCATTTTATGCACACCAATACATCCTTTCCGTGAGTTGTCACTTAACATTTGAGAAGATGGTGAGTGGCTCACTCTCTGCTACTATGCTAGTCCATCTTGCTTTTAATATGGATAGTGCCTTTCCTGAAATGGGAACAAGTGCTGGTTTCTTGTCCCTTCAAATACCACTGGCTGATTAGATACCAGTCTGCAAAAGTTAATTCTATAAAACAGGCCATAATTCCTCAACACTATTAAAAAATATAGGTTTTAATAGTTTTTATTCTTTCAATAGAATAAAACCATGTACATCATATCCTGCACCTCAAGAAAAACACCTCTCAGAGAGAAACACAGCAACAAGATAAACTGAATGTATAAAATAAGCATAAAATTCCCAGAACAAATCTAGTCACTCTATTTTTCAATCCTGAGAAAAACACAGGCCACAGTACACATCTGTGCAAGGAACCTCACAAAGTAACAAAGAGGCGTTTGTTTTAGACCGTCAGCCCTACTCTCTTTTCTTGATGGACAAGCCTGTATAAATTCCACACAGATTAAAAAGCACTGGACCATGCAATTATAATGGCAGAGGGCATTTAAAACGCATTTACTGAGCAGAACACTGGTTGTTGGGTCTCTCCTGATGTCAGTGCAGTCCGTTACAGAGCTTCTCTTCTGTCACTTCAGATTTCAAAAACACAGCACGCAGCAGTAAGTCAGAGGATGGGAAATGGCTTGTTCTGATGAAGTTATGGGTTCCATTCTGGCAATTAGGGTTGTTCATATGGCCCAAGTCCTCATCTTGCATGAGTGCCAGACAGGCTTGACACTCCAGATCCTTTCTGTATCCAAACCAAATCTGTAAGCCAAAAGACACAGCACCACCCCATGTAGGAAACCCTCACTGCTGCTGGCTCACCTCACCTGCAGGTCAGCTCTGTGACTTGTCAGAAACCTGACCAGGTCTCAGTTCTCTTCCAAGCCCACTTTGCTCAAGCTCTGCTATAACTGACATGTACTTAAATTCACTAGATCTGTGGTTGAAGGTCTCCACTAGTTCATAGGTCTCGGAACGATCCGTTGCATAGAAAAGCTGCACCTGATTCGCCAAGCACTGCGCTTCATGCACCACCTGCAAGTTAAAACAGAGAGTGTGTGTTACCATCAGGGCTTGTGTTTGAGTATCCCCTTGAAAAAGACTCTTCAGCAGCTGCAGTCCCGCTCATTGAGTGACTCAATGCCAAGCCACCTTAATTTAACAAATCTCTTAAACCACCTCCCTCTTGTTCCTGACCTACTTACACACTTCAGCACCCTGCATTTAAACTCCCTTCCTGCTGACCATACACCTCAGAGGTCAAATACATCTTTCATGATCCCTGCAAGCTCTGAGACACTGGAGATGCACCAAAGTCTCATCTTTCCCTTCTTACGGTTGACCTATTTGCAAACATTGATTGTTTACTCAAGAGACACAACAGGGCAAATGCATCACCAATGAGTTCTCTGCACACTCCTCTGCACACTGCTTCAGAACTGGTGTAAGTAGGTCAGTTAGAGATGGGATGCTTTAGTTATCTTGTTCCACCAGTGCAATCCCTGGTACAATTAGTCCTAGCACTGTACTATTGCAGATATGCAAGTAACAGCACACCCACACATATAAAAAAGAGCAAAGGTGCATGGAAAGAAGAAGCACTGGAGGTCTCCTGATTTGACAAGCAGTATTCAAAACACTTCTTTAATTTGTTGGCAGGCAGCAACACATTTCACTTCAATTTGCTTTTATTAATTAGAAAAAAACCAAAAGTAACAAAACAAAAGAATGCATGAGCTGAAATCACCAGAGAGACAAAGACTGATGATTCCCTTCTAGCTTTCCCTGGTACTAAGTAGATTAGGTTAAAGGAATCTTGTAAGACCATTCTTTGGGAAAGGGTCTTTTAAAGATTTCATTTTAATTTGGCTTTAATTCAAACCTGTGCGAGAGCCGCAGCATAAAATGAAGGAAGCCAAAGAGCAGATTTCTCTTACCAAGAACTTGGAGTCCATTTCTGCTGTCATTAGAACTATTCCTTTTTCCTTCTGTAGATCAGGAAAATGGTACAGGACCAACTGGCTAGGGGCAGTTTCACCTTGGGTCTGAAGGAGATAAAGAAACCCATCAGCATCTCATGGAGAACTTCAGCTGTACTGTAGATCTGGAGGCTTTATTACAAAACTTTTCAGGGCTTAAGGGTCAGTTCTAATTAAAACTTCATTAAAAAACAAGAGATTTGCAGAGTTAGGATGGGTTTTCTTCATGACTGAAGACCATTTTGCATTTAAAAGAACCCACAATTTCCAGGATGACATTACATCTTATAGCATCGACTCGTAATGTAAATAGCTTGCACAAACAGTTCTGAAGAGTTTGGCTTGTGCTTCTCTTTTGAGACTATGTGACTTCTACCTCATCTTCCTTTTAGAGAGACATTTGATACCCATAAACTTACTAATTTACCCTTAATTAAGTTACCTATAATTAATGTCAGTTTTTCCTTGATAAGTCTTTTCAAGTTAAGCTAGACAACCTGTTCATTAAACTATTTAGCAAGTATCAGATATTGTAATATGCTGACAGTATGTATTGCTGGATCCTTAGCCATTTTTGGACTTTATATTCAACCACTCACCTGAATGTTTATCAGGGAGGTGAAGTGCAATTCTGTTCCTGACCACTGCCCCACAAAGAACTCGTAGCCTTCTTTTCTTGGCAAAGCATACAGAAACTAAAGAGAAATGATTAAACGATTAGTAAAACCAATTCAAACAAAACCTTTCATAGAACAAAACGGTGCCCATGTTGTACAGGCCTCCAGCATAAATGCTCTGGAAAGAGAACCGTAACAGATAAAAGGGTTTCTCTGCCCCACCAGGAATGATAGGGCAGCAGGAACCAGACAATAAACCAGCATTACCTTATCAGTATTATTTTATTAGCAAATATGTTGGCACATATTTTTATCAGTGTTATATGAGACAGGGAGAGGAAAGGCCAAGTCAGGACAGTGGAGAACATTCAGACTCTGACCTTGCTGTTCACTTCTAGGAAATTAACGGAGAAATGGTAAAATATGACATAAGGAGCATTCAGAGTATTTAATCCTCTAATTTCACCAACTGGTTCAGAACAGGCAGCAAGCACTTTCTCTCTAGAGATTTACAATCTATTCAGCTCCATAGGCTAGAGACTTACTCATTTTCCCACACCAAGGGGAAAGACAAGACGGGAGGAGAAAAACATACAGGATCCATGACTAAATGCCAATTCACTGTACAGAAATGTACTTAAAGCTATAAATAACTTTCCAAGCTCCAAGTAGCTCGGGAAGACGGATATGGCTGATCTTGCTCTTGGCAAGTGGAACATACAGGACCAATCCACCTACCCAGTAAACTCTCCCATTCACATCTGCAAAAGCACTCCTCCTAAAGCAGTGAAGTCTAGGTACTTTGTTTTCATAAGGGAATGAAGCACTTAATTTGTGTCAGCATAGCAAAATCTGCACAAAGGCCATGCTTCAGTGCACAAGTTACTGTAAAAACTTACTTTCAACTGAAAACAATGCTAATCCAGCAGCACAAACAAAAGATATCCTTTAGCTTGTTAGTTTTGCTCTTTTGTAGCTTAACTTCTTCAAAGCAACAATACGCTTATTCACACAGGAATCTTCTAATTGAAGCTTACAATATATCCACCAACCCACATGAGAAACAGTGAACCCAAATCCTGGGAATCCACTCATTTCTGAAATAAACCTATTATGCATTCTCAGTATTTTATGCTTTGCCATGCTGGCACACACCTAAGACACAACCCACAGAGTATCTTACGAACCTTAATAAAGGGTTTGGCTACACCTAATTCCCACTTTCTTTCCATCACAGCTGTTGAATTACAATGCTGTGCAACAGAGCTTACACATAGGCTTTTTTGACAACTCACAGTCCCTTAGACACAGACACATCACTGACACAGCAAGCTGCCTGCCCAGGATGGTTTCCATGCAAATGACTCTTATTAGCTTACCAGTATTTACCTATCACAGATCACCAGCATGATGAAGAAAGCATGGCTATGCACATTTAAGATGACAAAAAAGCAAGCTAACAGATGATACGGTTCAGCTCTTATTGGACAGAACCCCAACATGTTGATTTCTTGTCCTTTTCAGATACTCCTGCCTATTATCTCCACTGCCAGAAAAGAAACAGAGGAGCAACTCACAGCAGCCATTAAGACAAGAGAGATCCCTTTCCCCACACACACACAGTGTGATGCCACGGTGACTCACAGTTCCAGCCAACAACAGTTCCTCTGGGTTAAAGCAAGCATGCTTTGAGCAAGAAGATACGTGGGTATATCAGTGAAGCTGGCCTAAAAAGCCTGGCTCTTCATAGAACTGCATGAAAGAGACTTAACCGCAAGACATCAATTAATGGAAAACAGTGGTTTGTAGCTAAATCCATTCCCTGGGAGATTCTGTGCTTGTTTTCTGAACCCTACATCTCTCATATCTAGATATGATAGCTAGATCAAACTGTTTAATACATATAAATAGCCATTGCTTTTATCTGAACACTAAGACAAGTGTATGAACACTTGGATTTTACTAACTGAGCTGATACAATTGAGTCTGAATGGAGGAGGGTCAAAGGTTTATGAATTAAGCTTTAGAGAGGAGAAGTGCATTACAGCTCTACATCCATGTGCTGTGAGTATCTTCCATACATACCGATGGACATTTCTGGGCTCTCTCCCATATTAAATCAAACTTCTCTGCCTTTGGAGAAGAAGAAAGAGAAAGTCAATAATTCAGAATCAGCTCATTAACCTTTACAGGGTACAACTTCCATCTACAGAAGGTCTCACTGCGGGAGCAGCTAACAATGAATGCGTGGAAAACTGTATTTAGTTCTTAGTTACCTAAATGTTATAGGTATCCCATTTTAACAATGCTGTCTCCAAGATACAGCAGCAAACTCCTTTCTGGATCCAAAGCTTTATTCCTTGGAGGTGGGGGGCCCACACTTCAGACTCACATTACGTCCTCTTTGAGTAATAGGTCCACCGCATTTTGTGGTGTCAACAGTTGAGCAGGGCGACATATCCCTGGCCTCAAACTGTGCATTTTACATCACAGTCATCTGTTCTTCAGTATTAAAATGCAGCCTAGATATTTACTCAAGTAACATACTTATTGCTTAGGTTTATATTAAAGCCACAAATACATTTGGTCATCCCTGATGAAACCTGGTAATCTCATTCACGTGTTCTTTACATTCCCCCAAACCTTTTGTCTGCACTCTTCTTCCCAGCACAGCACATTAATAGTCTAAGGTGTTCAGGAAAGAAAACACATGACATCCATCAACATGAAATTCCCCCATGCGTGCTTTTGAGCACTCAAGAATTAGGCAAGGCCTTTCTTCCAGCCAACAAAAAGCTTCTGGCAAAAGATACAGAGGGTTTTTTTCCCCCCCAGATGACACCACGAACTACCTCCTAATGTGCCTAGGACCTGGTTTGCATTAAAGCCTTAAAAAGCTTCCAAAGCTCCTCTAAAGCAGTGCACCAAAGAACAGTGCCAGCCCCACCATCTTAACTGGAGTCCCTGGCTTTGGCTTTCTGCTACAGTAAATGTGTGATTCAAACTGTTTTCACAAGATCCACACGCTGGGAAAACTGGAACATGAAGCCGCTTGACTTCAAATCCCATGTTGCCATATCAAGGGCATAAACACTTCATACATCTAGGATACAGCCTCCCACCGACTTGCAGCTCAAAGGGCCAAATACAATTGCAAATCAGACCCCAGATCTAAATGAGGTTTCAAGAACTGAAGGAACACACAGTTTGTGCCCAGATGTGAAAAGACAGATTTAAGAGATCACAATCACATAAGAGACTTTGAAGCAAAGAATGGAAAGAAATCCCCAAAGTGAAAAAACCCTCCTTCAGCCTAATGCAGATTAACAACAATTAACATCTGGGAAAGTTATCAGGAATAAGAAGTAAGATCTTATCACAGGAAGCACCATGCAACCTCAATGAAAGACAGCACTGCCAATAATTTTACATGTATGAAGGTTAAGTCATAAGTGATTAGCCATGTACAAATCATTAGCCAAGTGCTCTAGTACTGCCCTATTCAACTGGAGTTTGCTGTTCAGGCTGCAGGGAAGACAGGAAAGAAATAAGCAACACTGAGAAAAAATGATGTGAAAATACAAATGCTACCTTAATAGATACCAGGGCCCTGCAAAGAGTATTGGATACTCATAATAAAATGTGCCTGGAAATTCAAGCCACATGTGCAGAAAAAGGTACTGGCTTTACTGAGACTGATGTAAGTGAGGAAAAAAAGGAGTACACGTTTTTGGTGTGGGGAAAAAAAAAGCCTTTAGCCTTCATTTGGGGCAGTAAGACCACTGAATCTGGAAAGAAAGTTTGTTCTTGTAACCTCATTTTCCTTCAATGATTGCTTTTAAAAGCAACAGAATCACAGTTAGAAAATAAAGTTCTGCATACTGGCCTTTCAAATGCATAATTACAGGGGAACTACTTACAGGAATAACAGCATAAACCGTGTCTTTTGCAGAAAAATACTGATTCCAAATCTGTAGGAAACAAAGGAGATGGTGTACAGTTATAATCAGTAATATTAAAATATTACAGTTAAAAGCAATAATACTAAATGCTTTAAAAGAAATTTCCTTTGTCAACTAACCTTTGTAAGCATTTCAAGAAGTAATTTTTCAAACCTGACTTTCCTGCTAACACAATACACTTCTAAGTGTAACATTTAAGAGAAGACAAATCTTACATAATGCTTCCCCCTGTTCACAACCTTTTTGTTCATCACAGCAGGATAGCACTACCTACATAAAAGCTCGGAATCCTTAATAAACGGACAAGCACAGGTAAAAGCCCAGAGTTCAGGACTTTTTCAGTTGCTCTTCCCCAGTCCTACAGAATTAATGAGAATTGTCCATAAATGTTTAATCAACAAAACACAAGTAGAGGAACTCAAAAGGAACTCATGAGTTATCAAACCACTCCCTGCTATAACTGGTTGCACACCATCCCTGCAGAGCACGTAACTACTTCTATAATGTTCTCAAGCTATCAGGAAAGCTGCTATGTTTCTGCTCTCCAAGTTGTGCCAGAAGACTCCTTCATGTGTGCTGCTTTCTTTCAAATGATCGTGCCTACATAGTTTCTTGGCATACAGACTGATAAGGAAAAAAAGTACCAGATCCAACTCAAGCTACATCAGAAATGTGCAACAGATGTGATTTATAACTACATAAAAGGGAATACAGTGCAAAGCCAAGCAGATAAAAGGAAGAATAACTCAATTCACACTGTTTTTCAAAGAAACAGACCCATCCACCTCCTTCTTACCCTAACCAGCTTCAGTACACGGGCTTCTAAATGAGACACAATGCAAAGAAAGGTACAAGGTGGCAAAAGTTTTGATAGTACTTCTGTAGAACAGATGTAGTATAATCCATACGAACTACTGCTAAGTTTTCCCTTTACTGGGCTTCAAACCTGACCAGACTTTGCTAACACCAATTCAACTGCTACACACTAAATGGCAACAATAAGAATTACAGTAGAGTCAGTTTCTGAGAAATCAAGTCCAGATGTACCAGGCTACATCCTAGGTGGACTTACATATATGGAAAAAACTTTATTTTTTACTACTAATATGCATGTCAATGTGCTTTTAATAAATATCCATCTATAGACTGAAAAATAAAACATGGCTAAGTAAAGTTCCATTCTCATATGCAGATTACTATTAAGCACAGATGTGGTGCAAACCTTATTCCATTTAAATCCATCACCTGTTTTATCTCCTCCGCTGACTTTTCTTTCACCATCTCAACATTCAGAATCGAATCAAGTGTCTGTAAGAGAAAGCATAAGGAATCCAGCATGACAGCAGTTCTCTGATCCAAGTGAGAATCCAGAATGAATGGATGCAATTAGAGAACATACTCAAGCTAGAGTAGCTTCATTCAGTTTACAGTGTGACTTAGTCTTATTAATTGCCAAAGAAACCAGTAAATTATAAGCAGTAGCAGACTGAGAAGTGGAATCACACACTGAGTCAAAATAGAAGACACTCCTTGAGGCCGCAGAACACACTTTGCTCCAGCTGTGCAGAACTGCAAGACAAGCTGCAGCCTTTCACCTTCAGCCATCTCAGACATATTTACACAGTAAGTTTGCCAAAATACAAGAAATGTGGAAGAGTGTAAAACCAGCCTCTTGTCCCTCTGCTGGCTGATCTTTGGAAATCTATTTACACGTTGTACAGGCAGCTTAACCCTTGCTATTTATTGCTGTGTGCATTCAGTACAGATTCGCTCAGGAGCAGGAACTTCCAGCATGTCAGAAATGACAGGATACTAGAAATGCAGAGTACCAGAACTTTTAAGATCAAACACAATCCCAACAGTGAATTAAAATCTTATAATCAATTGCAGCATAAGGAAGATCAGTTTTATGTCAAGAACCTCTTGGCTGAAGCACTGATGGTAGCAATACATCTACATCCTTAATTTACCAGCATGTCCTCTCCTAACATGCAGGTTTGTTTCCCTTACCTTGTCTTTTGTGAATCCACCCTTTGATGTCTTTGAGCCCAAGCCTTTTGCCTAGAAGAAAACATTCTTTAGTTTTTATAGCTGATGCTTTAATACCATTTATTTGCCTTCCCTGGCATGCATAACATGCCTGATGACCAAAATCTCCTGCGTAGGAGCTCAGGTTTAAGATACTTGAAGAACACTGCAGTGCATTTTGAATAAAATGATTTATTAGAAGAAAGATGAGTAACCTAATGAATTGTTATTTTAAAGGCCAGAAAAGATTAAATTCAAAGCAAACTATTATGCACTTTGGATCCAATATTACTGAGCAGTTTTCTTGCATTTCTAAAAAATTATATATGTAAGATCATGTCCCTCCATTTGGCTAAACTAATCTGGAACTAATTAAGCAACTTAAACAAGGCTTCAAGCATAGAAATTAGTCTGAAAACCAGAAAAATAAAACACTGGAATAGAGAACAATACTTTTAGCCATCAGAGAGTGACATTCTGGGGCTCCTTACTAATGGGAACACTTTATGTTCACAGCATTATGCTAATCCTATATACATGGCATCATAGCTTTAATACATGTGAATTACAAAGAAAGTTGGCCTTACCTTTTCCTCCATGCATCTGATAAATTCTCCCTGATTGGAGTATCCCACAGGCTGCTTTTTCACTTCAGTTCTTTTTTCCATACGGGATTCAAACACATCTGGACTGGATCTGAATTGGAAAAGGGACTGTTAAAAGTACTGGGTGATGAACATCATTTGGCTTTTTAAAATGTTTACTGTGGCAGTGATTCATGGTGTAAACGTGTAACTTACATTTTTAATTTCTTGTTACTAAAACTCTCTTACCAACTAGCCACAGAATCCCAGACTGGTTTAGGTTGGAAGGGATCTCAAAGCTCATCCAGCTCCAACCCCTGCCACGGGCAGGGACACCTTCCTCTAGACCAGGTTGCTCCAAGCCCCTGTGTCCAACCTGGCCTTGAACACTGCCAGGGATGGGGCAGCCACAGCTTCTCTGGATGACCTGTGCCAGCACCTCAGCACCCTCACAGAGTATTTTTATCCTGGTGTCTCATCTCAATCTCCCTTCTGCCAGGTTAAAGCCATTCCCCCTTGTCCTGTCCCTGCAGGCCCTTGTAAAAGGCCCCTCTCCAGATTTCTCACAGGCCCACTTTAGGCGCTGGAAGCTGCTCTAAGGTATCCCTGTAGCCTTCTCTTCAGGCTGACCCAGCCCAGCCCTCTCAGCCTAGCTCCACAGCAGAGGTGCTCCAGGCCTCACAGCATCTTTGTGGCCTCCTCTGGACTCACTCAAGCAGGCCCCTGAGATGAACACCATGCTGAGAGACAACTCTCACCAACTTGGTGACAACTACATACAATTCCAGGCTGGTTTGGGTTGGAAGGAACCTTAAATCTCACCCAGTTCCACCCTCTGCCACGGGCAGGGACACCTTCCACTAGAGCAGGCTGCTCAAAGCCTCACCCTACTTCAAGGCAGCATTTGGCCTAACTAGTTTATTTTCTTATTGGGCACAAAGCTAAAAATTACTTACTTCCTTCCTTCCCAAAATCCCAGCACTCCCAGTACCCCTGTTCCCAGAAATGAACCCCTCCGCCTCGGCCTCTCTGCTGCCCTTCCTTCCCCTCAGCCCCATCCGCAGCCATGTCCCCAGGCTCCCCCGCACCTCCGCAGCTCCTGGATCTTATGTCGGTACTTCCCGTAGAAGGGGTTCTCCTCCAGCGCCGCCTCCCCGTTCCCCGGCCCCAGGTCGGCCACCCCCCGGCTCGGGGGGACGAGCAGCCCCAGCGGGCGGAGAGCAGCGCGGCTCCGCAAGGCCGCAGCCAGCCCATAGCCCTGCAGCAGCGGGCCCGCCATGGCGGCCGGCCCCCTCCGCGCTCCGCCCGGCCCCCTCAGCGCTCCGCCCCGCAGTGAAGAGGCCGGAGACGCGCTGTGAAAAGGAGCTTTTATTTCGAGACACTGGAAGCGGCGTTACACGAAACAAAACCAGCGGGGAGTGCCGTAGCGCAAACCCAACGCAGGAGCGCGATGCACGACGAGCACGGTGCGGCTCCGCTGCATGTAAAGGTCAGTAACTGAACTGAAAGATACACAGTGGGGGTAGTGTAGGGTGATCCCTACACCGGAGTCATCCAAACGAACACAAATATAGCCTGAAAATGAACCTAAGAATCACAGCGTAACAGCAAGGTAACAGCAAGTCTCGGCAGCGCATTGCTCCATTCCCGCTACAGCCTGGACTTGTCTCTCTCATCATTTCACGTCTTTTCATTTCAGACATCACTTATTTCTCTAGGGCTCACCATCCGAAGCAGCAGGCAGCCTCCTCAGGTCAAGCTTCCAACCACCTCATTGGAAAGCCATGCTCCACAAGCATGAGCTGCAGCAGGGAGCAGATCCTGACAAGGGTATTTACTGCACCCATGGCTTTTATGCCCTCTACCATCTGCAGCATGAATAAAACACAGGAGGAAGCCTGCCAACATGCAGCATCGGGGCTCTGGAAAGCATGTACGATGGAGACTGGTGGCACAGCAGAAAGCTTGCTGGCTGGGGACCACAGCTCCCAGCCTGCACCACACCATGACTGGTTACCCTAGGCCAAACAAGCAACCACTATACTTGGGGATGATGTTGAACTGATAGCACAATTCCATCCTACAACAGCAGCAAGTATAGCAATTATCAACTGACTGTGCTCTTGACATGCAAGTTAAGCAGCACCCCTGGACAGCTGCACCCCACTGCTAATGACTGACCAGCTTCACTCCTTGGCCACACACCGAGGATATGTGTGGCTGGAGCAGCACACGCTGCCTCTAGCTGACAGGTTCACTGCTGCTGTTAAAGAGCCTTCTAAAAGTAAGCAGACTGCAACAAAACAAAATACTAAGAGATTCACATGGTGCTACAATAATCCCTTAAATTTTAAGGTAAGTTAAATTCCATACAAATCAAACTTCCAAAAATATTTTGCAAACTCTGGCATATGGCTATGATACAGTATGTACAAATAAAATACCAGAATGGTTACATTTTATTGCTAGGGTTTTTTTTTTATTTGGTTAAGGAATTATACAGTAGTGTATAAAAGGGTATGGGAAGCAGCAAGAAGCAAGTATCAGCTTCTTGTCCTCTCAAAAGCCAAGGTTGGTTGGTTTTGTTTCGTTTTTAAATACTGTGTTTGCAAACGTCGCATCAAAAGCGTTTCTGTACTGGGTCACATCTGCATTACCCAAACAGGATAGAAGAGAGCAACAGTGAAAGAAGCCTAGGCAACAGGTAACAGGGCTCTGGTTTGTACATTCCTTCACTGATTCATACTTCCAGAATACAATTATTCATAAAACATCCGGTCTAAGGTTTTGTAAAAGTCAACAGTTACAAACTAACTTCCACATAAGCTGATGTCTTAGCGAGGCGGGCAACTTCAGGTCACTAATCATGCAAGAAACTCCCAACAACATCAGTGCTACTTGTGAGCAAAATCATCCAACTTGGCCATGCTCTCATCTGCAAGAGAATCCCTTCTGCAGAAGTCATTTTCTATGTTCCAGAAGGTTCACTAGTATAAACAAACCCTGCAGTTCCTCTATAGTAAGGAAGCCTCAGAAAGATGTGTCAGGAGAAAACACCAATGCCACTGCACACTCCTATCCTGCATTTTACATCCTTTTGTTGGTGAAAGCACAAAAGGTAAGGGTACAAAGTGATCACGTTCACATCAGTCAGGAAACACCCCACAAGTCTACCCTTGGGCCTTCCCCACCTGCTCACTCCTAGTGACCAGAAGCTTTACTTGGGACACTTCAGCATAGTGACCCAAACAACAGTGCATGGAACAAACCAGCAGCATCAGCAACCATGTTCCAAAGATCTCCAGTAACCAGTTAGCAAAACCATCAGCACACTGCTGATCACACCTGAGGCATGAACTATCCAGGTGCTACTCAGCAGGCTGCACTGCAGACTTTTACCTCTTAAGCATCTGTTATTCAATACATTTTTTTTTAACAGAACAGATAAGCTCATCTCCCAAAATGTAATCTGGATGCAATACAACAAAGCAAAAAGAATGCTGAAGTGAAAACCCAAGCACTTGGTATTTTGCTCCTGTAGGCTCATGACATAAAAATACTTTCAACTCTTCCCTCTAAAAATAAATCCTGCTAGAGATGGACATGACTTACCACTCCTGCTTTCCTCTGACTGAGTCTAAACTCATTCATGGATGCACTTGGTCAAAATTAGAAATTTATCTGAAGCTCTTAACCACCACTTTTAGGCTCAGTCTTTTATAAACAGCTTGCTACCAACACAGCCCCTGACAAAAACTTCCCCTTAAATATGCATAATTTACTCTATCTCAAATATTTACAAGCAGAAGCAGCCCATCTTTACAAGACAGCTTTCCTTCTGCTCTACATAAAGTGCAGCTCTCTAATTTAAGGCAAATTTCAGTGAACTATAAAACCATAGTTTTATTTTAGTATGTACACATTTTGAATTAAAAACAAGAACTCCCTTGAAAAGGAAAGAATGAGAGGAAAATGTTTCCAAGTTTGGGAATTTTCTGGATTTTAACACAGTCCCAATATTATGTCCTATCGACATATAAATTTGTATGTTTTTTTTCCTCAGTAAATGCAAATGAAAAAAGAGGTGCAATGTGTACAGTAACTTAGCTCCAAAGATCAGTAAAACACTGGGAAAGTGCAGATGTAGTTTTTCATGTCCCGTAGTTTCCTTTAGCTACAGTAGCATCCATCAGTATCACATTTCTAAATATGTATCTTAGACACCTAATGCTAATCTCAGTTCTTGTAGTGAGTATTTCTCATCTCCATCTGTGTCAAATTGCTTAAAGCTCTGTGACTCTTGAGCTGTTGAGCCAAGCAGCTTTTGAAGATCTTCATGTGACAGTTTTCCACCAGCATCTTGGGTTGCTTTTTCAAAGAAATTCTGAAGATCTGCAAAGAGAGCAAGGATTGAAAAGTAGCTCCTTTAAGTACAGAGGAATAGCCTATAAGCTGCTCTTCCAGTTTTACTGCACTGTTTCTTTACTACCTAGTAATGAAATAAAGCACCCCCAGGTATGGAGCTTGCCATCTGCGTTGTCACAAGCTGCCAATAACAGTTCAGGAGAAAAAAGCACAAACATTCCTGGATTAAATTATACTAAATCCATGAAAAAGTAATCCCTATTTCTGGCCATGACTAATAGCCCATTCTACAACCACTAACTGCAGACAGATACAGTTATCCTCCACAAAAGCAAGCTTCAAATGACTGTTGCTATACCAACAGCACAGATGGTATAAAGGGAAAACTGTCTACTCATTTCCTGATTCAAAACATTGCCCTTTCAGTAGCTGAAGAGCCTGAGCAGCAAGATCCAGAAACCATTTATTTTCCCAGGCAGTGTTCTCTTAAAAAAACAGAGGGGAAAAAAACCCACCAAAACATACACATATCTACTTCATTTTCCTTCAGCACCCTAATCCTGCCCTTGACTTCATTCCCAGTCTTCTGAGGCACTTGGTATAACACTTTGTCATTCAAAACAATTATAATCCACTTTTAATACACATTCTTGATTAAATCCCAGATTATTTTCTTCTACATACTATTATTTTTCTTTTAGGTTTGGTTTCTTTTTGTTTTAATTACTTTTCAAAGACCCTATTCTCAAGCTTTTAAAACTGACTTCACTTCTCCCTGAATGCCCCAGATACACTAACATCAGTCCAGTTATACTTACAACCTACTGAACATTAACACTAATGCCCAGATACACTACCATCATTCCAGTTACACATATAACCTCATGAACATTAATATGAAATATAAAGAAAAAGGAAAGGTCAGCCTAAAAAGGACATACCTTCAATGCTGGAAATTCCTGGTAAGGACAGATGTCTCAGCTGTCCATTACCCTCTGTGTTGTCATCAGCTGACCTTGAAGCCAGCCTTGAAAGGTCTGTGGGCTTTGCTGCAGTACTCAGACTACTTTCAACTGTTACAAAACAATTCCTGTTAGTCTCAACACAGAACTACAGTTAGCAGAAACAACAGAAAGTACAAGAACGCTGTTTTGTCATAGATGCTGTATAGGGTAAGAATGCTGCAAAACCGTTTCAGAATACAGCAGTGCTGTCCCCTTTTAGTAACTGGAAGAACAGAAGGAAGCAAGCTTTTGACAGTTACACAGCCTTACTCTTATGCTGTACTGATATGTATTTGTAAACCCCATGCAAAGAATGACTTGGAAGTGCTTTCTTCTCCCCTGAGCGCTGAACAAGCTTTATTAAGCAAATTACATCTGCCCACCTGGGTTGCTTTCCCCTTGTCAGTGCAAGCATCCATCTTCCCCAATAACAAGGCCTAAACTTCCCAAGTTAGCAAATCAACAAGCAGAATTCTAATGTAATGAAGTACTTACTCTTGTCTTCAGCACTTCCTGAATATATACAGCAAAAGTGCAGAACTGAGACAAGTCAGCAGAGATGCAGACCTTTCCTCTAATGTTACACTTAGATTTTGAAGCAGCAGAAATAGATGTTACTGGGTATAAGTTTCTACAGGTTAGTAACTATATGCCTTCAAATACAAGCTCCTGATGCATGTGAATCCTGTTATACCTATGGAAGGTTACCTTCAAGCTTTACCAGTCATACAGTTTTCTGTTTTAGAGCCATCAGTTTCCTACCACTTTAACTGAAATAATCTACACCAAAGCCTTAAGGAACAGCTTAAATTACCCACCCTCACTAGTTACTCTTTGAATCACATAGGGAATCTTCAGATTTATGGATTACTATCATATGACATTCTTACCATTCTCTGATGTCTCGGTGAGTTTGTCATTTTCTGACTTGCTTGTGAGAGCACTGATCATCTGAAGCGTCTCTCTTAATTTTGATACCTGAGAGTCTCTAGTTTCCGTTTCCTGTATATATAGAAAAGCACCTCTTCAGTAGATAGAGAAGATCAGGAAAAGAAGTAATTTAAAATACGTAAGTACTTTTGAGCGACTTGGAACTCTACAGACTAAATCAAGCTTAAGATAATACACAGTAGTTAATAATATATATGGAAAGATGTAAGGAATAAATTCACACAGTCTATAAGAAAAACAACAGAATCAGCACCTCAACCTGAAAAGTAAGCAACTCTTTTGCAGACACCAATTTCAAAAGAATTTGACATTTAATTTCCATATTTCTTATTTAAATGAGCAACAAAAATTATAACAAACCAGTTAAACATACCTGGAGTGAACACTTCTACATTAATTGAATTGTTTCAAATGTCTGTCTGCAATACTGACTACCTTAGTGCAGGAGTCACTGTATTTGTCAAACCAAAACCACTGTATTTTTTAATCTAGAGCTCCTTTGCTCTTTTTATGAGTAGGTTCCTGATGACAGGTTGAGTTTACATCAATCCAAGCCTAGAACTGACAGTGTAACTGGTTCACTCACTTATCTTCTTCCCAGAAGACAGAAACTGAACTCCGCAGCACCACCTCTTTTTCCCACAATTTGGCCAGTTAGTCTCAAACTTTAGAGGTACCTTTCATCAATTCCTAGACTTCATTAGTGCAAAGTTCCTCTAAGTCAGCCCAAGAAAGTTTTAAACCTGGATAAATGCCATAAGCCCATTCGTGGCATGAACCCATAATAGTTGGGCTAGCTTTGCTGAAAGCATGGCTGAAAGCACAGGTACTCAAATGAGCTGAATGCCAGATTTCCCCGTTCCACTGGACCATTGTCTGAACCTCCCAAGATTCTTTCAGCTGCACAGAAGGATATTACAGCAGCTCTGCCACGTATCACATAAGTAGTCAGAATGGCAAGACTTTAAACTATTACAACATTTCTTCCATCCCAATTGACATCCTGTCCCCAAAATGGGGTGGGGATAAGCTCTTCTTCTACTCTGGACTTTTAAAGAAGCTTGATCAGATTGGCCTGCTTGCAGATATTTCCACAATTAAGTTTAATTTAAAACATGATTATAAAGACAATGACATGCTCTACTAGTCCAGTGGAATTTGTGTTTCCTTACTTTTACCTTCAGTTCTTTATGTGAATGAGTTTCATTATCTATTTGATCTTCATTTTCCATATTTTGAGAGGTAGTTGCATCATTCCCCTACAGGAGAAAAGGAGGAGAGCTGACTTTATTCATGTGTTCATTATTTACTACAAACAGAGTTTCTTTCCTTCAAATTTGGCAGGCACGAAGCAGGAAAAACCAGAACAAATACACACCAGAATAAACATGAATGTTATGTAATTTAACACAACATGTTCCTTATTGCTAAACATACAGAACACATTCTTAGAGACTGGCCCCACTATGGCATACAAAAGCACTGGATGCCACAAATGAACATATTTAGTATTAATTTTATGGGGTCTTTAGCATTTAAGCACCACTGGACAACCCAGAGGTCCACCTAGCTCTTCATTGGTCTTAACAGCCCCATGCCAGAATGCCTTCCTAAAACAGAGGTTTGTGAATCCCATTCATTAAGCAGTCACTCAAGTCTTAAATGTCACAGTGTTTTGGCCATTTTTCTGTAGATTCTGCAGGGAAGAAATAACTCCTTCAGGGATACTCTAAACACTGATTATCTGTTCAGAAATAAGGAACAAATTCCAGCCTTTTCAAATGAAGTCCTAAGTGTCTCAAATTCCATTCTGATGTTTCCTTTAGCTAGGTTTGAAAAATCTGTATCTGTAGTGCATAGAAAGCATTGAAACCACCAACGTGAGTATATGCCCTTAGTCAGCAAATACTTACCACATTGCTAGACAAGTTTTCTCTTTTGTCCAGATTATTCCCAGAAAGGGTAGAGTTTTCTAACAGCATAACCCTCTGGCTGAGGTTACCAATGGCTGAATCCACATTTAGAAGCTTGATGTCATTCAACTTCTGGTACGCCACTACAGTGTTATTTAGCTCTCCCAAGGCTGCATGCAGTGACTGGCTTTCCTGAAATATAAAACCAGCACACGTCAATTTACTCAACCTCTGCAGCACCTTGCTATTAACAGTATGGTGACTGACCCAGTTTAACTGGGCAGACTTTACACTGGCTCTCTACCGACACCACTGAAAACATCCAACTGGAAGCTTTCAGAAAGTTATTCCAGCTTTCAAAGTTTGAAACAGAGATTCCTCCTTAGGGCTAACCTCTTTGTTGCTAATGTAACCACTTCAGCTGTGCCAGCAAACACAGAAAGCCTATTCATCTTTTTTTCCAGGGCAAGTTCAGTAACCACACCAACTGTTTTTCCCAAGGAAGAATGTACTAGGCATATTTCTACACAAGGTTTGTTTTTGAGGAAGATATCGACTATTTTAAATGCGAATAAATGCAGTCCTTCCATTCCAACCCATTCAGCTAAACACCCACACATTACCTTTTCTTTTGGTTGCTGCTGAATCCCTGCCTTCCATGCCTGTTATCACATTGAGGGTGACTCAACACAGGCCACTCCCAAATTTGCTCAGGTTAGTAAATACCTGCTATAAAATCCATTCCATAAAAAAGCCTTTAATTCATTTCCATTTACATGAGCAAAGCACACCTATAATTTGTTGGATATTCATCGTTTTACTCCTCACCCAGCTACAACACAAGAAAAGTACTCTCAGACTAGGGTTCTTTCCTGTTTGCACATACACAGGAACAACTACAGCTAAATGACCTTATACTTTCCTTTGAAGAATATTATCTGTAGTGTCTTGATAAAACACCACTTCTCATATGCTACAGTACTGCAAAACCCACCCAAAAACTTACATATCTGTGATACTTGTACCAATATTCCTGATGCAAGGGAGGGGAAATACCTTTCTGCAGTTTTCTGTCTGATTTTTCTCAGTCCTTGGCACAACAGTGGAGGGAAGTGAAGGTATCTGTTTTAATTCCCTCTAAGAAAAGAAGTAGAAAATTATGTTGGAATTATGGGGGGGGCTGAACTAGATGATCTGAAGGTCCTTTTCAACCCTAACTATTCTATGATTCTATGTTACCAAATGCTTGTAAAAAACCATACTAAGCTATTAATAACTGGCTGGGTGTAGCTAAGGATGTTTTCCTACAATTATAGGCACTCATGTCTATTGTGCATGTAGTATTTTGACTAATAGAGTTTTCACTTTCAAGTACAGAATGTCCAAATTTATTTTAATTAAACCCTCCTAATGAGCTTTTCTCCATTTAGTGAAGTTTTATGATACGCATTTCACTGCTACCATACACACTGCCACATCTGCAATGTTTCTGTAACACCCATTGACTGCATTAAGTTTCATAATGAGCCTAATTTAGATTTTATCTGCAAGTATTCATAATAAAGTAATGCTGTATTGCAGTTTAGCTGGAAAACTTTAATTATTGGCTCAGTTTGTTAATCCCAAGTGAGATGCTGGTATAAATAGAGTGAGCAGATTCTGGTAAAGACAGGCAGTAATTTCATCCTTATTTTAACCAGCAAGCTCTATCTCAGTGCTTCCACTATCCATAATCCTACAACAGTGCAGTTACTATAAGCAGTATCCTGCCTCACACAGAAGCAGACTCCCAAGGCTCCAAGTCTATTTAGTACAAAGCAAAAATATGCAGGATAAGGAGTGTTGTAGGGACCAACAATTCTAGCTCCAGAGAAATACAAACTTGATACCATACGATAGATGCCACACAAGGATTAGAAGATCACCTTACTAATGTACCAAACCCACTGAAACTTCAACAGTATTTTGAAAGGCATAAGGCAGAACTCCAGACTGTTCTTAAACTTGCTTCATATTATGCAGGTAACTAGTAAAACACATGTTAAATTAACACATTTTCTTACCACGTCATTCTGAAGGATTTCTATGGATTTCTTGTATTCTTCAATAGCTGTCTGTATATTTTCAACATCATGCGAAACACTGGTAAGTGTGCTGCCTATGTTAGCTACAGTCTGGAATAAAGAAGACGACAAAAACCTCAGCCTTCCTCAAACTTCACTGTCCCAAAGTTTCAACTGCTGAACACAACTGTTTTGTTAGTTAAGCTGCAGGCAGACTGCCACAAAAATACGCAAGGGCATTTGAAATATCCAGAGCTTTTTCTGCAGGCAAACCTCTCCAGGCGGTAAACAAAGACACACTCTACACCATGAAAGGTTAAGCTAGAGCCAAAATTAGGGGTTTGCTACTCCCACTCCCCAAACAATATTAATGTGCTGGCATCAGTATGAAAAATAATCCTGATATGTAGACATCTTACCTCCTCTTTACATGGAGTGTCCATATTGAATACTAAGATGTTGATACCACCAATTTATCCTGTCTCGATTGTCTTTCAGAGGCACCCATCAGACACATCGTACACCACAAAACTTGTCTGCCAAAGGCTGCAGATTAAATTGCCTTTTTTTTAAATGAAAGAATGGCTCTGAAGCCTCAGAAAAGCCCCCATGAATTCTGCAGGTACAATCAGGGTGCTCTGACAGCTACTTTTGCTTCGGACTACACCCTGCCCTTGCCTTCAACCATGTGAACTCCTCCAGCCCCCAGCTATCACTTTAGAAAGTAACTATGCTGTAAAGCTGCACCAGTGTTCCAGCAGCTGATGGCACAGCACCTAGAGTCAGATCATCAGCTAGGACATCCACAACCACCAGTGGAAACTACAGTAAGAAGACAGAGCATGCCCCTATGCTTCTCATTCCATTCTTAATGCTTTCTTCAATCATTAAAACAACACATCTAAACCCCTTTTTCCTCTGAGCCTGTAAATGCTCATAAGCTCTTAAGGCAGTGAAGTGACACTCTAGCTAATGAAAGTATACTCAAATAATATCCACACAGATCTTCCAGCTTTCCATTCTGCAAGTCTGAACACAGATTCAGTAAGTAATCTCTGCCCTGGAAGACTTCAGAACACCTTCAGCACCTTTCATTAGTCTGAACAAAAGCCTTTGCCCAAGAGGAACTCTCTCAACAAACCTTCAGGACTCAATACCAGCAGGCAGCTTCTCATTTTCAGGAACAGTATCTACAGAGAAAAAGGCTTAAGAAAACCAAAAGCCTATTCTAAGAATAGCAGCCTTTTTAGAGAATCATAGAATCATTTAGATTGAAAATGACCTTTAAGATAAGAGTCCAACCATTCATTAACTTAAAACAGCCAAGTCCAACATTAAACCATGTCCCCAAGCACCACATCTACACATCCTTTAAATACCTCCAGGGATGCTGCCTCAACCATCTTCCTGGGCAGCCCGTTCCAATGCTTGACAACCCATTCGGTGAAGGTATTTTTCCTAATATTCAATCTAAACCTCCCCTGGCACAACTTGAGGCCATTTTTTCTCATCCTATCACTTATAACTTGGTAGAAGACACTAACCTGCAGCTCAATACAACTTCCTTTCAGGTAGCTGTAGTGACCAATAAGGTCTCCCCTGAGCTTCATTTTCTCCAGGCTGAGTAATTTCAGTTCTTTCAGCTGCTTCTCATAACACTTGTTCTCCAGACCCTTTACCAGCTTCATTGCCATTTGCTGGACCCGCTCCAGCATCTCAATGTCCTTCTTGTATTGAGGGCCCCAGGACTGAACACAGGATTCATGGTACGACCTCACCAGTGCTCAGTACACCGGGATTATCACTGCCCTGGCTCTGCTGGCCACGCTATGTCTGATACGGGCCAGGATGCTGTTGGCTTTCTTGGTTGCCTGGGCACAAGCTGGCTCATGTTCAGCTCCATCAACCAGCACCCCCAGGCCCCTTTCCATCAGGCAGCTTTCCAGCCACTCTTCAAGTCTGCAGCACTGCATGGGGTTGTAGAGTTCCAGGTGCCAGGGTCTGGCACTAAGCCATGCAGAACCTCATACCACTGGCTAGAGCCCATCAATCCAGCCTGTCCAGAGCCTTCCTACCCTCCACCAGATCCAACACTCCCACCCAGCTTAGTGTCATCTGGAAAGTTACTGAGGGTGCATTCAATCTGCTCATCCAGATCATTGATAAAGATATCAAACAGAGCTAGCCCCAATCCTGAGCTCTGAAGAACACCCCTTGTGACTGTCTTCCAACTGGATTCAACTCCATTCATCACCACTCTTTGGGCTCAGCCGTCCAGGCAGTTTTTTACCCAGCAAAGGGTACACAAGTCCAAGGCTATGTGCAGACAGTTCCTCCAGGAGAATGCTGTCAGAAACATTGCTAAAGGCTTTACTGAAGTTTAGGTAGACAACATCCACAGCCTTTCCCTTATCCACTGAGTGGGTCACCTTGCTATAGAAGGAGACCAGGTTAGCCAAGCACAACCTGTCTTTCACAAACCCATGTTGACTGGGCCTTATCACCTGGCTGTCCTGTATGTGCTGCACGATGGCACTCAAGGTGATCTGCTTTATAACCTTCCACAGCACGGAGGTCAGACTGACAGGCCTGTAGTTCCTCAGATCCTCCTTTTGTCCCTTCCTGTAGATGGACATTACATTTGCTAATCTCCAGTCAACTGGGACTTCCCTGGTTAGGCAGGACTGCCGATAGACAGTTTCTTCAAAGAAAGGCAGGTAATTCCAAAGACAGCTGGATGCAACAGATGGCTGAACAGGAGTTTTTCACAAGGCTACCACCTACACTTACTGAAGTTCTCCTCCGTGACAGGAGGTAGTGCAGCATGCACACAGATGGCATCAAGAGAGCAGTGGCAACAGATGCCACATCTAACACCTTAGACTCAACAGTGAGACTGGAAAGAACTCAAAAGTTCTCAGGATATTTGATTTTCACAAAGTGTGACCAAGGATGGACTTACTCCAACATGGGAAAGCCTTGCTGTTCAGCAGATTGCTAGAAGCTGAAACTTGCTGGCCCAAACTCTTTGCCCTGACAGTACTGAAGGCAGCAAGATGACAAAAAGATCTTTATACACTGTTTGTATATATAAATATACATACACACACATAAAGTAGGTGCAGATTTCAGACTAGGTACTGCCTTAAGGCTTACTTCTGATAAGACACTGAAAATACAACATATTCATAACAGCAAATTAGAAGATTAGGCAATAGCTTTGTACTCATCCTGTAAAAAGAGATCCCAGCAGCCTGATCAGCCAAACCACACTAATTGCTTTGCATATAACTAGCTTGTTGATTATACATTAATCTTGTAGGAAATGAGAAGTGGAAACCCATAAAAGCCACAAAGACTAAACTGAGATTAGCTATTAGCCCAGTATAAATGTTTATTGCTAAATGCCCATAACTGCCATGGAAGAGTTGGGGAAGTTTCAACAAACCATTCTTTGTACCAAAATAAAAAGGACAGTTCTTTGGTAAAGAATGCTAAGACACAGGTTAAGACACTGTATTAACAGAAGTCACTTCAGAAGTAAGCTCGTGTCACCCAGTAAGGCCCATCTTCCAAGGGGTTGCCAGAAAACCATCCCAGTACAACTCATGTTTTGCTGTTCACATACTGAACACCTAGAAAGCTCCCACGCTAAGGTTCCAGGCTTACCGCTCCCAAGTCAAACTCCTACCCACCTCAAGACTGTAAATGCAGGACTAGATATACAATTATATACTGCTCAAGATGAGAAAGTTTTCCAGAAAGCAATCCATTTTCTTTTCCAATTAAAAGCTAAACAAACCACCTATTTGCAAGCAGAGCTGTAAAACTTCAGACAGACTTTTTGCAAGTGTCTTAATGTTAAAACTAGCAACCTGAAGGAAAGCAACAGTAATGATTAGTTCCAAAGTAAAAAAGTGACAACATAATATAAAAAAATGCACTTTCAGAAAGGGACAAACATGGTCTTCAACTTTTTTACCTGCCCTATGTTACTGTAGGACCATACACTATCAAGTATATGAAGTCTAATTCAAAAACAAGAGAAGCAAATATTCCTCTCAGACAATTCAAGTAATTCCTGTTGCCACTGCTGTCCCCCAGAGCACAGCTGCAGCTCAGCATTCAGCAGCACAGAACAACACATTTAGCAATAGCCACATTTATAGTACTTGCCTTCTGAAGTTTCTCTACTGTGAGAGGAAGAGAAATCAGATCAGAAGCAGACTTTATGTTGTTTTTGAGATGATTTACTGTTGAGGTCAATAGTGATATCTAAAACCAAAGAGGAATATTTAGAATTAGTCAACATAATCCTGATTCTGACCTACCCCAATACTAATGACTTAATTTGTAACATTAAAGCATAAAGCAAGACAGAATTATACATGTACACATACAAAAATCACCCGTTTCAAGGTTACAAGTCCTGCTTAAACCACGACACTAGGCCATGCCTGAACACCATAGAAGACCCTTCTTTTCAAAAAGGTAGCCTCTGCCCATTTTATATTCATTAGAGAGAGGGTGGTGCCCAAGAAAGGTATAAAGAATTGTGCAAGAAGCCCTTACATGGAGGAAACAGTCATCCACTTACTGTATTTAGCAATCAAACCTGCCTGGCAAAACCCAGCAAAGCACGCAACTTCTCTAACTGCGTAACAGACAAAGAAGTTGCACAGATCACCCACACCTTCTGATACAGAAGTGGAACAGTGACAATCTAGCTACAGTGGTTTAGCAAAATTTCTGTCAAACTGTTTGACTCAGACAGCAAGTTATTCAATGAGTCTTCAAGATTCCTTATTCACTCCAACTGAGAAGTTGTCAAATAAACTAAAACCAGCTACCTGCTAGTCATTCATGGCTAACACCTTCAATTTAAGATCCATTTGTAGCCATCAGTAGTCAAAATAATTTCTTCTCACATTTGACAGCACAAAAACAACTTTATTTTGGTTAAGAGAAAAAAAAAAAAAAGAAGTTGTTTCACAAGCTGAGGAAATGAGCAAGATCCTAATGTTACATTAGGCCTATGTTGATCAGCTTGAGTGCAGTCTCTCTGCTTCCACAGCTGTGAATACTGGCTGAAACAATTCCCAGCAGCACATCCCAACAATTCATGGAAAAAAATAAAAAACTAACTAAATTTTGATTCCCAGAAGAGCTGGCTCAGACTATAAACAGACCCCGAAGGAACTTGAAGGCTTGCAAGAACCATGTGCAAGTATCTTTAACATCCAGATGCAGATGATAGTGTTTTAAAAGTCCAGTGAAGCACCTGAATATCTGTAGATAACGCATACTGCCAGATGCCAAAGAAAACTTGTCAAATCTATTTACGTGCCTCATTTAGGACTTAACCACTGCATGGAACTGAAGAAAAAACAACCTGAATAGGCACCTCAATACTCTTAAACACAAAGCACCAGTGTCGGAGAGGACACTTCTTGATACCACTGTGAGCAGCTCCGAACTTTTACCCTCTGTGGCAAGAATTTCAATATGAACCTTGCTGGATGCTTTGTTTGAAGCATGAGTTAATAAAGCAGCTGAGAAAACAGCCTTCTGTTAAGTGGCTTAGGTTTAGCTGCATGAACAGAGCTAAGATTTACACCAGCTCAGATGCTGAGTGCGTATGAGCAGATTTTATATTCACACCAGTGCTTCATTTGTAGCAACGTGAACTTGCACTGATTTGGGTAACCGTTTTCCACACTTATGAAACATTCGCAGATGCTCTCTGAAATGTCAAATCTCTCATCATAAACACCGGACTTATTTGGCAGGAAAATGAAGAACTGCCCAGTCTCAGGTTCTTTTAAGTTCTGCCTGAAGTTTATCCACCAGTTGTGCAATTTCTTCAATTTGTGATCAGTCTCCAGTCCAGATGGATGCTCAAACTTTGTTTGTTTGTTTAATAAAGAGGCTTACGCTCCACTTTAAAAGTTCAGCATATGGTCACACAAGGCCTTAGATAAAAGCTCAGCACTGCATTTGAAATGCATTTCTGTGGACATAAGCTTCAATGGACTATTTCATTATTTTTCAAAACCAAGCACTGATCCCTCTCACCTGTTTATTGAGCTCTGTGATATTTATCCAAACTTTATTTAGCCCCAGTTCTCCAGTCTCGATTTGTTCAAGTTGCTTTTGCTTCTGCGCCAAATCTTCATTCAGTTTAGGAATTTCTTGGAATGATGTCTTTTGATTAGATTCCACTAAAGAATAAAATACAAAAAACCCCGAATAATAATGAAATTAAAAAGTGCAGGTAAACAATCTTGAAAGGCAGAAAACAAATGACAAGCAGCAACATCTATAGCAGTAAAAGAAGGCAATAACAGTTCCTACATATGGGTTTATTGCCAATTCAGAATTAAGTGTTTGTTCAGAATTACAGCTGTTTTAAGAGTACTCATGTCTGCAGAGAAAACCCAGAGGGACTGTACTAAATGTAACACTTTGCAATAGTACTGTCATTCTGGCAAGCCTCAGTAGGTCTTTATTTAGTGCAGTTATTTTGCATTACTTTCAGAGAAACGTGAAAAGGTAATGGGACTGTAAGAACTGCCAACACTACGGGGCAAAGGAAGCACATGAAATGAACTTCTGTGCCCTTTTCAAGCCTCTGAAGAGACTAATGATGAAATTAATTCCAAGGAGATTATCGTGATTACAGTTGTTCTGTGTACCAGGAAGACAACAGAACATAAAACCTTGCACACTAATATCTGTTGGTAAACAGATCAGTAAACAGGGTCCTTGGAAATAAAGTCAGTTATTACAGCAATTAACACTACACAGAAGAGGGAAACATGCAGCTCAAACCAACTCAAATGAACCTCAGAAATGCAGCTCTTCCAGGTTGACAGTGACTAAGCTATTTAGCTGCAAGCACTATTAGGTAACCCTAAATCCCTAGGTCTGGCAAACAAATAAGCAAAGGTTTTGAGATGGAGATGACAGAGTTTGTCAAAATCTCTACCTCCACCCTGTAATGTAGCACAGAATGCTCCACAACAAACCACCGCTACTGAGAACATGCTGCAAGAGCAGTGGAATGTACAGCGTACGTAGCTGGCAGCTCCCAGAACAGATTTCCATGCATGACCCATCTGGTCAAAAAGAGGAAGCCTTCAGGAGGGCTTCATGCTGTGGTGCCCAAGTACACACAACTGGAAAGACATCCAAAAACCCTCTTCATTTTTCTGGAAGCAAATCCTCACAGTCCTTTATAGGGACAGAGTAATCTGCTCAGATCATCCAGATCCAAACAACACTTTCAGTTACACACAGCCTTGAAAGTTTTACTTCAGTCAAAACAGACTGAGAACTAATTGAGGGTTCAACATAAGCACTTCACACCAAATCTGATGTTTCAGAGGCTCCTGAAGACAAACTATTTTCTGTTTTGTCACTCTTACCATGTACAGTGAGACTCCACTGAAGACTTTTACAGTGATAGAATGCATTACTGTTCGTAGCACAATTACTAAGAAGGGAAACACCAAAATGACTTCCCTCTATCCCAAACGTACTAGATACAAAGATGTCTTATTCTTAAAAAGCACCCCTAACACACTCAGCCTGTTCAAAGGATGGCAGAACATTAAAATACGACCACAGGAATCTGCTCTTATGGGGAAAAAATCTGGATGAAGATTCAGAGGAAGAAAGTTCTTTTTCCAAACTTGCTGTAGGGACAGACAGATCCCATGCCTTTGTTCCTCCATCCATTCACACATTTTACCAAAGCACAGTGTTACTTTTTAGAACCAGGTTACTCTTGCTATCTGTTTTTTTGTTCTTGTTGTTTTTAACGCTGTGCCTCATTCTGAGGCTCCCATCCAGCTTCTAGGTATGCTATCACAGTGGCAGGGACATCTGAGACTGTTCCACCTCTAAATGAAATACTAGATGCATGGCTTTTCTATCAGAGCTACTACGGAGAAAAAAAAGCACATCCGTAACTGCCAGACAGGAAGCTCAGAGAGAACAACTGCTTTAACAAAGGGGTCTATATAGAACAGAATGATGAAAACTACACCAAAGCCAACAAATGTTGTCATTGTGCAAAACTTCTACTTAAAGCAAACCAGTCCAAGAAGAGCAGCAGTCAGCTTACCCAGGATACAGCAACAACTACTGCAGGGCTGTTTGGTGCACTCACAGCCACGAAGGAGGGCCTGTAACTAAAGGTGTCCTCCGTAACTGGTGGACACCAGCTACAGCTAACTTTCAGAGTTCAGTATCAGTTAATATAAAAGCACATCTATCAGGAGCACTTTCTCTCACTGCCAGCCAGCAGGTTCCACCTTGGCAGGCAACTCCTCACCTCACAGCAGTTACACATCTGAACAGGAAGCCCCGAACACCAATAGCAAAGAATTTCTACATGCATTTCCTCAATGCCTCTTTCATCACAAGCAAATCAAGTCCTCTGCTTAACTCCTGCCCTTGCAGCCTCCTAATTTAACTGATGTCATCAGCCTTATTTTTAAGGTCATCTTCGTGTCATGAACACAAAAATTCAAAGATGAAGACCAAAGCTGTGGGACAAAACCTGTGGTCAACAGAGGTGCTCCTCATGCAAAACATAACTCCTCAGCTTTCCTGAGGCAGCTAGAGACTACCCGAATGCCTAAGCTTCACTTTCTTTTGCCCTGTTTGCACAGCTCCTTAGCTTATCTTTGCCTTTTTCAATGCACATGATTTTAAACACTACTAGAACAATGCACCAAAACATACACTGCATCCAGAGACGAGGTATACAGAACGTATGTTACATGCAAATCTCAGTGCTACAGAAGTTAATACTGAAATCTTACATGGACAGGAAAAACCTGAGAGCTGCAAGCAAAATGCTTCACATTAACTCCATACTTTTAAGTATTAAACATGACGTAAGTCCACACCACATGCAACACGTGAAAGCTGAACAAGAACAGGCTTCAAGCAAGGTGAACATTTACAGGAAACAAGGAAAAATCATAATACCAAAGCAGCATTAAAATTGCATAACACCACAGGAAGTATTAAAGATTTTAACAAGAGCTCAAGACAAGATCATTGTTTTACATTATTTTAAGGGATGCATCAAAACCCCTTAGACTGTTGTTCCAGGGCTGATCAGAACTTTCTCTTTTTAAACAGAGGCTTTCTTTGGAAGAGAGCACTTCCAAGACCAAAGCCAAGAATTTTAGAAATGTACATACAAACAACTACAGGCCCACCTGTTCCTGCTCCTCAAAAGACACAGAGCAGACAAGAATATACAATATTCGCCTCAGACTCGCCCAACCACCAAGTATTTTTGGCTCAGAGGACTCCTCAATTCAAGGTCAGTTTGTCTCCTCAGTACTTTCAGGCTTTGAATAAGCAGGTAAGCAACTAAAGCTCTCCCTCTTGCCCAAAGCAGACGTGAAACAGTGTAGTTACATCTATACTTACTAGTCCGAAACTTCTCCTTTATTGCATCCAGATCCTCCTTGAGGGCCACCTGCATCCAGACTAAGCCAACACACGCTACCACACAAGCGGCGAGAATGACAAACGAACATAAGGGGTAACAGAACTTGCAGCATCGTAGATAGTCTCCCCTGGATAAAACATAAATAACAGGTTGTGAATATTCAACAACACCTAGAAAAGCTTGATTTTTAAATGCTGCTCTATCAAACGAAGCCAGGGACAGTGCTAGAACAGCAGACGTTTTGGCTGACAAGAACTAAAAGCTTTTCCAAGTATAAATAAGGCTCTGCAGTGGATCAGGGCTATTGCTGCCTGTTCAGTTCATCCTCAGGAGGCACATCTAGCATATTTAAGAGCAGCTGTCAGGTTTCCCATACTAAGATTTCCTGCTCTGCTCACATAAGCTTATGTTAGGAACATCTGCTTGATAGCTTGGAAAGGAGGCTTTGAAAAAGGATATTACCATAATGTTACAGCAAGTACTTCTAGTTTATCCTAAACTGTGAAAGCCAAAGTTTCTCTGCAACATGCCTTCTTTTCGTTATTCTTAAAAGCCTATTAATAACTTAACTGAGAAGTTTATTTACTGACAAAGCTCATCACGTCCATAAGAAACCAACACGGCGGCAGCTCGAGCACACAGGACTGTGCCATGAACACACAATAGCTGTGCTCAACACTTAACCAACTGCCCCCGAGCTCACCTAAAGGTTTCAGCTGCGGTGAGCATTAAGCATTCAAAACAAGAACTAGAAAGCGAAAAGGACACTTCAGATCTACTTCGACCCCTCACCAGGCTACCTGTTGGGCCACACACACTCAGCGTAGCTTTAGGTCTCTCCCAGCAACCCCCAGCTCCCCACCACCCTCCCCAGCCGCGGAGCGCATCCGGGAGACCGGCGCTGAGGACCGGAACCCAAGGCGGGTAGGCGCAAGTCGAGCCGGGCCGGGTCCCGGCGGCAGCCCCGAGGACTCACTTGCCGCAGCGGCCCCGCGCCCCGGCGAACTCATCCTCCTCGGAGCTGGACTCGGAGTCGGAGGCGGGCGGCTCCGTGCGCAACAGCCGGTGGCCCGAGCCCTTCTTAGCGGGCTTCTTCCTGCGGCCGTCGGCGGCCAGGCCGATGAGAGCGTTCAGCTCCTTCCGCTTCTTCATCCTCTTGTGGGGCGGCGGCACGGTCGGCGGCTGGGTCCCGCCTCCCTCTTCCTCCGCCGCCGTCGCGGCGGCCGCCGCCAGCGCGCCCCGACTCGCCAGCCTGCGGCCCGGCCGCGGCTACAGGCGCTCCGCGGGGCCGCGGCCGCTGCTCCCCCGCCGGCCCCGCGGCGGCACGCCTGGCCCCACTACCCGCCCCGCCCGCGCCATGGCTGCTCCCGGCCCGCCGAACCCGCCCCCTCCACCTGCCAGCAAGCCGCGTTCCCATTGGGCAGCGCGGGGCCGCCCCGCTCGGCGCTTAAAGGCCCAGGCGCGCCCTCCACGGGGGTCGGGAGTTGTGATGGAGTTGACGGTTCGAGTCCCGATTGCGGCAGATGGGACGCGCTGGGAAGGAGGCGGCGTGAAGCGGCCGAGCGGAGGGGTACTTGGTGCCTACCTCCACGGTTACCTTCTGTCCCCTCGCCTGCGGGTTCAGTGGGGGTCCTTGCTCCCAGAGATACCGGTGGTAGAGAAGCGGTGTTGCCTGGCAGCTGCCCGCCTGCTGCCTGCCACAAAGCTGCCGCGTTTCGCTGCCCTCGGCTGACAGAGCACCGCAACCCCAGCCCGGTGCAGCATCCACCGCGGCCGCTGTGGCAGACATACTGCCCCGACTGTTCTTAAGATGCGACTTAAAACGTTAGCTCGCTCGGGGTGCGGTGGGGGGAGCTGTCAGCCGGGATGGGGATAGGTGGAAATGAGGGTGAAACCTTGGGAAGGCTGGAGTATGTGATGAAAACCTGGGGGGGAGGAAGTTCACGGTATGCCTGCTTTCTCCTGAAAGCCTGAAGGCTTGTCTGCACTAAAAGCCTACAGAACCGCATGTGAAACAGCAATATCCCCAAGTGATGCTTCCCACGCCCCTCGGCATGGTCCTTCCACACCCTCACTCAGCCATGTTCTTTAGTTTTGCTTCCCTGAGAGCCCCGGTCGCGCTCGCTCTTTGCGATCTTCCTCGGTCGGCGATGCGGGGCTCCATCTCTTCCCCTGCCTCCCCAACCCGCATCCTTGCGGTTCCCGGCGGCGGGCGGGAGCTCTGAGCCCGTTCTGCGGGCAAAGCGGGATGCTACCCTTCCTCCCAACAAGCGCTGCCGTGATTTGGCAGCCGCTCGGGCTCTGAACCTGCCTCTCCGCCCTGCATTGGATAAATACGGCCGCCGCTCCCCGGGGGGGCTGATACCGGTGTCCGCCTGATCCCGCCGCTCGGGCGCTGCCGTGGCCGAGAGGATGAAGCTGCTTTGGCTGGGGGTGGATGTCTCCCGGGTGGTGCACCTCGCCGCCGTGTTCTGCCTGACCTGCGTGCTGCTGAAAGCCATCCAGCTGTACCGCCGGCGGCGGGAGCTGCTCAGGGCGCTGGCCGACTTCCCCGGGCACCCGACACACTGGCTCCTGGGTCACGTCCAGGAGGTAGGCAGAGAGCCGGGTCTGCGCTGCCGGGAGGGGTAATGCCGGTGGGGATGATGCTGCGGGGACTTGTCCCTGCGATCCAGGAAAATTGCTTCTCCTAGCCTCCGGGTAAGGGAAAGACTAGCATCCTCCCTCTCAACCATACACACCCCTCTCCATGCCTGTAATGCCTGGAGAGCGGCACATGCAGGCTGCTGCAAAATGCACGGTGGAAAAAGGTGGTAGCTGGTTTGCAAGTAAAGAAATATCATGTAATGTGGAGTGCGCAAGGTCATCCCAGGGTGTAAGCCCGGCATCAGTGCCAAAGCTGCTCTGCCTTGGCTCCGCCGTCACCTCTTTGCTCCTGTGACGGCCAGGACATGGCTGCTACAACGGGACACCGGTCCCAGCGTCCAGAGGCACCTTCTCTCTCTTGCCAGCTTGCATCGTCTTATGGCCAGGTGAGCCAGGTGCCCATGACTGAGCATTGATCATTTTCAGTCATGTTTATGCCATAAAACACATTCCAAGTATAGCATCTGTCACAGGGTCCACAGATCTTTGTTAAGGCTGCATTAAAGCCACGACTAACTAAGCCCACGTACATAAGCAAGCTTTCATGGCTTTCATGGTGTTGGTGACTATTCCCCGAGGTATGTGGTTGCCCACACAAATCAGCGTGTCTGCCTTGGCAAACTGATTTCCACAACTCATCAGCTACTTCACAAGAAGTAACTGAGCTGCCTGATGCAAAAGGCTTTTCATACATGCTAAAGGCTACTTAAAATCACCCTGGGCTCTGATACTGCCCTGCCCTGGCCAAATCTGTGGCACATTAAATCACTGGCACCCTGAGAAGTAGCTGGGAAACCTGGAGGAGACCTCTTAGGGCTTGCCCCAGTTTTGCTGCGCTGAACAGGACAGGCAGTCCTTTGGCAAAGTTAGCATGAAGATGGGCCAGTTCAGGGCTTTGTGGAGCTGCCAGTTAGACTTTAAAACTGCAATTAAATAAACTGTGTTCTACTGTATGTCAGTTGTGACTGTTTATCCTGGAATGGGATTTAACCATTTGTGCCAGTCCCTTGCTCCCTTCATGGTTGGGTTGTTCACGGCGTCACTTTTACCTCAGATGGTATTTTTTTAATAACTCCTGTTCTGCAAATTTAATCAATTGCTGATTAAATGCTGCTGAATTCCTCAGAGACAAACAGTTCATTGAGCCAGGGAGGAAACTGGCAGTGTGCTTGGTACATGCTGAATACAAGGTTTACACACACCTCAGAGGGAGGACCTGAGAGCTGTATTGAGAGCACTGACATTTCCTATTCTATTGATGTAAAGTGACTCGTTGCAGTTTCATTCAGGTCTATTTAATATCTCAGATATTATTTGTCGTGCTTTGGGTGGGTCTCCCAGGAATACATCACTGTTTTAAAGCATTCTTAGGTATTACTCTCTGCATATCCAAATCACTTGATAGAAATGACATTAAATATCAGGAGGGGCCACGTAGGTTGTGTCTCACTGCAGCAGCATGACTTAGTTAAAACCCAGAGTGCCAGCAGTGAGTTAGCCAAACAGACTTCCCTTGGCCACAGGAGGTGGGAAACAGAGGAGAGCAGGTTGCAGGGGGACTGTCAGTCCCTCGACAGTCCTTTTCCTGCATCTGCGCTGTGCAGGCAGCAGGAGGAGGGGAGCCAGCCTGGTTCTGACTGAGCACAGCACAGCTTCATGCTCGGGTTTCTGGTTGTGTGTTTTCTGTTTCATTTGCTATCAGCGTGTAGCCATTAAAAGCATCCATAAGTGCCTCTTCCCAGACGTTTTTAGTGTTGGATCCATTTCAAAAGCTGCATTTCAGTGTGAGATGAGGCTATTACCTTTCTTCCTTAGACACAAGTGGTGGTTATACTTTTCTTCTCAAGATCCCAAGGGGGGAAGAAGTAGAAGTGATGGTCTTTCATGCACAACCTGGTAACTGGAGCCATCGTTAAGAAGCAGGAGCTTTCCACTCCTGTTCTTCTACAGCCCATAGGACTTTAACCTTCTGCACTGGGCGTTCTTGGCAGAGCAGGTAGAGGTTATTCACCTCTGCTATCAGACAAACCCGTATGACCCTCTTCCAGTGCAGGGATGGCTCTTGATAGCACAAACCAAAGCCAGCACTCCAAAGCCAAGGTTACATGCAAAGGCTTCCAGCATTAGGACTTCTGTCAGCGAGGCTTGCTCAGCATCTCCTAATTACTTCCATTTATACCTTCTGTGATTTCTTGACAGAAGGAAGCACAAGCAGCCTTATCAAAGGGACTTTCACACATTCAAGTATTACTGAGCTAAAGTCACTGTGCCAAGCCCCATTTCTGCTGGCACTGCTGAAGGGGTGGGTGCTGGGGAAGGCTGCCACCTTTTACCCCAATACTTGATCCCTGCAACCAGAACAATTGATAGTTCTCTTTAATAAGTCAAAAATCTTGAACTTGTGCAAGAGAATTTGAACAACTTCCTATCATAAGTGATAGCTGGATGTAATTTGTCATTCTGCTGAATGTGGGAGAAACACAGGACATGCTGCAGGATATGACCCCTTGGCTCACAGGGAAGAGGGCTCAGCCTTGAGCATGGAGCTTGAATGTGCCCCCTCACAGCCCATGCAGATGCCTTGTGGCTCCTGAGCATCCTCTCCGATACAAGCCTAGCATAGGTGATTATTTGAATACAAACCATCTCCTGGGTTGAGAAACACTCACCAAACTAAAAGCTGAGCTGACATAACACCAAAGCAATTGAGCAAATATTCACTTGACTCAGTCAATACAGTGACTGTTGCTGCTTTCTGCACCAGTATGCAGATGTAATAAAGCTTCAAGCTTCGTATCAAAGCAGCAGCAGTTATGATAACCCTAGGTCACCAAAATCCTTTCCCCTGTGTATTATGGACAGAACAATTTCTGTTGAGAGAAGAATGAATTCTTACATGATTTTGTCTCTTTTCTCTGCCTCTGACTTCGTATGTTTCCACTGATCTTTTCACTTGTTCTTTGGCTCTTTCCTGTTTAATATATAACACCACTGGCTATAAAAGCAATAAAACAGTGATCACTTTTGAAGAGTCAACATGTGAGTGCTGCTGATATGAACACTGGTGCCTGTGTTACTCTTCAGAGTGCAGCTTCCAGGGACTGGAGATGAACCTTTCTGAAAGCACCAGCTCTTCATTCTCTATTAAATTGTATTCATTGAAATCAATGAAATCTTAATCTAACATTATCCTCCATACACTCCATTGGCAACTTTGGGCTTACTCTGTTGGTTTTTACTTGGACACTGGCCTTCTCCACCTAAATGGCTGGAGGAAGCTGTGGCCCAGGTTTCCTGGCCAGGAGGCATCATTCCACCGGGGCAAACACAGCAGCAATGCTGTTGGCTGCTGTGCAAGTGCTGCTGTATTTTCTCATGACTGAGGGTGCTAATTGCTCAGCCATGTGCAAGAGACAGCATATCCACATGCCACAAACCACAGATGCTGTCTGAGACAAACCTGAGTCTTCTTTGGGGTGGCCATGTCAAAAAGAGCAGATAAAGTATATGCACTGATAGGCATTACCACTGTTCTTGAGCATGCTCTCCACGGTTAGGGTCAAGTGATAAGGATAAGGAAGAATTATTTTTTATGAGGTTTAAAAGTAACATGCATCTCTACTTCTCGTCCTCTGCAAACCCCGAGGGA